CCTCGCCGCGGCCTGGTGGACCTGCTCGCGCGCCCGCGCCGCGAGGAGCTCGAAAGCCGGCACCGGGGCCATGCGCGAGCAGCTCGCGAGCGGCAGCGACGGTGGCCGCGGCGCCAGCTCCACTGTAGACGATGACGGACCCGTCTCCAGCTCGGCTTGCGTCTGGGTTTTCCGCTGCTCTGGCACCGACGATGACGGCGGGCGAGCGACGGCCAGCTGCCGACCCGTGTTTAGCTTCTGGCGCGCATCGCTGAGCTCGTCGAGCATGCCTCGCGCTCCTGCCTGGCGAGAGCGCGAGGAGGTGTGAAGTCCGGCCGAGGCGACGGCGGCGGCGGCGGCGGCGGAGGGTGCGTGGTTGGAGCTGCCGCTGCCGAGGCGGGCTACCAGCACCATAGGGCCTGCGAGGGTGCAGGCGAGGAGCCATCCTCGCGAGGGCGTGCGAAGCATTGTCGCTGATGCGGGTCGAAGATGGAGAGAATAGATTGGAGGTGGATCAAAGGAGAGTGGCCAAGAGAAGATGGGTAGGAGGACGAGGTGGCGGGGGCGGGCAAGGACGCAGGTCGTGGGAGGAGGAGAAGCAGGCAAGGTAGGGGAAGGAGGAGACGCACATGCTTGGAATGGCAGGAGCAGGGTGTGTCAGGGCAGGTCAGACTGGGTTGAGGCCCGAGCTCACCACCTGTCAGGCCCCTCGTCGCCGTGCCGTGCCGTGACGAGGGGCGTGACAGGTGCGACGCGCGACGACGCTCGGTGCCGTCCTTTGCCGCCTTTCCCCGCCCTTGAGCGTCGCCAGCATCTCCTTTCTCTCCTTTCTCTCTCTTTCTCTCTCTTTGACCATCGTGATCAGCACGGCACAGCGCAGAGCGCAGCAGCAGATCTATGTTCGTACCGCCAGCGTTGTTGTTTTCCGCCAAAGCGGGCAGATGGACTGGCGCTGCGCACCGATGTCTCGTTTTCATCTCTGATCCGCTTGGACCCAAGCATGTAGCCTGCGAGGCAGCGGTCTGGCACACTGCACTTACTCCTGTGCGGACCTGCTCTCGCAGCACGCTCCGGACTCGTGGCGCTTGGTCAGATTGTGCGCTGGCTGGCCGGATCCGCCACCTTGCTCCACGAACCCCGACGTCCGGTCCTCTTCGGTCTCTCGTCTTGTCTAGTCTCGTCTGCCCGTCATGAAGAGCCGTGGAGGATGACGGCGGCTGCATCGGTCCAGACCCTCTTCCTGGCTTTCATCTGTCTGACAACACAGCCAGCTGGGGGCAGATGGCAGAGTGGACGTCGTCGATGGACGGCGGGCGGTGGGAGGCACGTTGAAAAAGCGGTGTCGCCCGACTTTTGCGTGACGGCCGCCCTCCTGCGTTTGGGTTTTGGCCAGCTTGCTGGGTTGGCCTGGCCTGGCCAGGCACAAAGGGCCCCAAGTTGGGGACTTTTGGATTTCGGATTTTCGTTTCTGTCACGCAAGGCTCTAAATTATCGCAGGCGTGGGGTTGACCCTGGGCCTGGGCCTGGGCCTCGTGCCCTGGCTGGACCCGGCGAGGCAGGCAGGCAGCAAGCAGGGCAAGCGAGAGAAAGGCGTGCAGGGTGCGTGTGGGCGGCGCCTTCTCGTCTCGCTTGCTCGCTGGAGCAGGCAGACGCCCACGGGCAGGCACGCAGGCAGGAAAGTCGGTACGGTCGGTCGGTCGGTCCCGCCAGGCTGGACACGACTCGACTCGACTGGACAAGCCAAGCAGGAGGCAAGCAGCAGCCGGGCCAGGCCAGACCATCCCGGGCCAACCGACGGCTTTGACCTCGAACCGAAGCACCTCGTCTTTCTCTTCTAACATCACACCCCCTTCGCCGCCCGCTGCCCCCTCGTCACCTCTCAACCCCGGTCGACGGCGTTGCCGCCTCTCTCTTCGTTTTCTTTTCTCCTCGTGGCATCCCAGCTACCGCCATCCCTTTGGTGGGTCCTCGACTCGGCTCGACTCGACTCGACTCGACTCGCCCGGCTGCCTTCTTCGACCTAGCCTGACGAGGGAACACGGGGCCCGTTTGTCGTGCTCGATAGCTTCATACACCGAGAACGGATCGACCTCGCCCGCTGGCCCCCGTCTGCCTGAGTCCGATCTGCATCTGAGCCTCCTTGCCTATCGCTCACCGTTCCGTCAACGTCGCTTCTCGTCTGCAACGGCTGGCTCCCAGGCCCGACGTGGACAGGCCCGCCCCGTCAGGGCCTCTCTTGTCGCATCGCATCTTCTGAACAGGCTCGCTACCGCTCTCGCCGGCCACTGGGAACCAACGGCAATCACACCACGCCCCTCCTCTCCTCCCTGTTCCGAACAAGGGCTCACTCGATCACGAACCACGCCTCACGACACCAGCACAGCTACGGCTGGACGAAGCAAGCGGTCGCTAGCCCTCACCCGTCTCGTCTCGTCTCGCCTCGATTCGACTGCGAGCGCCCTACTCTTCACTACCCAGCTTCCGCCGCCGCATCCCTCGCCGCCGACTCGTTGCATGGCCCTGCATCTCCCTGATCCGGCAGCTCGTCGCAGATGACGACCTCATTTGGCTCCGTCTCCAGCGGGGGCGCCGGTGGCGACGGCATCGGCGGCCCCTCTGAGCCAAACTACTCGCATGGCACTCAGAGCTCGATTTCGAGCGCCACCGGCTACCCCTACCTCGGCATCACCTCCCACGACAGCTCCATGTCGCTGGCCTACGCCAACAACACCCCCTCGTCCCACAGCACCGCGCTGCCAGACCGCCCGCAACCTTCACCCGCAGTCGGCGGCGGGTCTGGTGGGTTCAACATTGCAGAGGGTTCCAGCTCGAGTCAGGTCCTGATTGCGAGTGTGGTGCAGAGGCTCGTCAATCGCGTGAGTCCCGTTTGAAGCCTGCCCGGCGGCGCTCTTGGACCGAGAGGCAGACGCGACGCTAAAGTATAGCCCTTGTTGTGTTCCGCCCCGCTTTCAAACCCTGGCTCCGCTCGCCCTACTGCAGCTGCCATGCAACTCGGGATGGCGCCTCTCGGCACTGAGGGAGGACGAGCTGGTGCGGGCGAGCGTAGCGACGTTGGTCGGCTTCAGTCGCTTCCAGCTCTTCGCCGTCATCCGTGAGCTGCTGGCCGCACTCGAGGGCCTCAACCGCTCCAGCGGTCAGCAGGGCGGCGCCGGCGCCGACGAGAAGCTGTCGGTGGCGCTGCTGCAGTCGCACCTCTTCATGCTCAAGGTCCTGGTGTCGTGCATGATTCACCACTGGCGGTGCTCGTGCCGCGACAGCCCACCGGCGCCGCAGGCGGGCCTTCAGCAGCAGGATCCGACGTCGTCGCTGCCCCAGGGCTGGCGCGATCCGCCGCCGATGGACGACACCCAGGCCAAGTACGTGCTCAGCGTCATGACCACCTTTATCAAGCAGACGGCGGCGCGCGAGGAGGCCGTGCATCTCGGCGCCCTCGACGGCCAGGACCCTTCCTCGTCGTCGTCCAAGGGCAGCAGCGGGGGCGGGAGTGGTGGTGGCGGCGTCGGAGGCAAAGGCGACTCACACGGCGGCCGGTCGATGCCCTCGGAGCGCTCGCTGCGGGAGCTCGACATGCGCGGCCAGACGACGAGCTTCTCGAGCACCAAGAGCTACGGTCGCTCCGGTCGAGACGACGGCGATGCCAAGGACTCGGACCATGCGTCGATCCATGAAAAGACGCCCGAGATCTTCACGCCGAGCTCGCTGGCGCTGGCCAACGGGTCCAGCCTCTTTATCCTCTACCCGGCTTTTCCGCCGACGCGCTCGCCGTTCGACCTGCCCGAGCACCGCGGCGGCGTCAGCGGCGCGCGGATCGGCGAGTCGGCGCGGCGCGAGGGTGTCCCGCGCTTCAACCCGGACTCGTGGCAGTCGACCATGACGCTCGACCGCGAAGGCGAGAGCTTCGACAACGCCAGCTACCTCTGCACCGCAGTCTACCGCATGGCGAGCCAGGTCGTCTTCTACCTCAGCGCGAGCAACTGGGTCGTCGTGTTTGCACGCTTCCGCAACCGGCTGGCCTACCTCAGCTCCACCGCCGAGGAGTCGCCCAACACGATCGAGCTGCGCCTGCTCGAGTGCTCCAATCTCCACCGCGTCCGCCTCTCCAACGTGGTCCAGGAGCTCTGCACGTCGTTCCTCCACCTCAAGCGGCCGGCGCAGTACACGGTCGCGCTCGTGCTGCGCCGCGCCGTCTGGTCGTGGATCCAGTACCACCCGCTCGAATTTTCCAATCTCTCGCTGTCGAGCCGCCGCCTCGAGGGCGGGCCCGACGTCCTGTTTGACCAGGTGCTCAGCCTGGCCGAGTCGACGCGCAAGAAGCTCGCCTTCTGGCCGCTGCTGACGACGCTCCTCATCCTGTGCCCGGACGTGATCGGCAAGGCCGTGGTGGGCGAGGGGCGCAAGGGCGGCGGCAGCCTGCCCAAGAAGCTCAACTTCCTCGAGACGCTGCGCAAGAACGCCAAGAACAGCAAGCTGGGCGACATTGTCGCCCTCTGCTGCGTCGACATCTGCAAGGCGGCCGCGTGCACGCCGCGCTCCGACACGGGCCTCCGGCTGCTGGTGCCCGACTTTGAAGCCGACCTCAAGGACAAGCTCTTCGACCCGCAGAGGCCGCTGGTCAACTCGAGCAAGCAGGTCGAGATCGCCCTCATGATTGACTTTTTCGTCGCCATCTACCGCCTCGACCCGTCCAAGGCGATGCGCGAGCTGGTGCCCATCTGCATGGCCGACAGCAGCCCGGCGGCGTTCAAGGTGGCGCTGGTCAAGGCGTGCGTGCTCATGGCCAGCGAACGCGACCGGCTGCCGTGGAGCCCCGACGTGAGCCTGCTCTACCCTCAGATCGGCCGCGTGCTCCGCAACACGTTCAAGGACATGGTCTACCGCCTGCCGCGCAATGACGGCGGCCGCGATGCGGCGACGGCGGGCTCGGCATCGTCGATCAAGGGCGACAAGCGCACCGCGTCGCGGACCGCAGCCGCCTTCAACCGCACGGGGGCCGTCAGCATCGACGAGGGCGCTGGGCGCCACGAACTGCTGCAGGCCATCCTGCAGCTGTGGCTGTTTGACATCAAGGCGGCCTCGCACGGCCTCAGCTTCGAGCACTCGACGTCGATCCAGACCCTGTGCGGCTCGGCGCCGTTTGACCGCGAAAAGGCGCTGCGCGCCTCGCTCCAGGTCGACAGCGTCCTCTCGCTCATCTACACCATTGCCGTGCTCCTCGACACGCCGCACAATTACGTCGCGTACCGCACCAGCGCCGGCTCGATCCTCTCGCACCTCTTCGACACCGCCTCTTCCGACGAGTCGCTCGCCCGCTTCCTCCGCCACGCCGTCGAGTCGTGGCGCTCGTGTGCGCCGTGCATCATGCAGCTGATCGGCGAGCGCCTCATCTTCAGCGAAGGCACCTCGAGCCAGCGTCCCAGCCTCGACTACCTCAAGCTCGGCATCATGCGGCAGCTCAAGCTCTTCAACGGCTTTGTCGAGCCGGCGGGCGCCGAGGGCGGCGCGGGCGGTGTCGTGGCCGCGGGCAAGCTGCCGGCGACGGCCGGCACGCCGACCGTGGTGCTCGAGATCGCGCTGCTGCTGACGATCTGCTCGAGCGACACCGACGTCTGCTCGGCGGCCATGCAGTGTGCCGGCGTCCACGCCGACCTGCGCCGCTCGCGCCACCTTGGGCCCGGCGCCGGCGAGGCGCGGCCGGACGTCGCCGAGTGGGACCGTTTCTTCTCGGAGCTGGCCGATCCCACGTTTGTCCAGACCGGGCGCATCGCGCAGCAGAAACGCATCCGGTCGCTGCTGCGCGACATCCGGACGCCGTCGCTGGCCAGCTGGATCGCGTGGAAGCAGGCCTACCGGCGGTGGGCGGCGCTGACCCAGGTCGTGGCGCGGCCCATCGCCGACGACAGCGGCGACTCGGCCCAGGAAAAGGCGGCGCAGTGGCACAACTTCGCCGGCTTCCTGTGCGCGTTTGGGGGCGCGTGCATCGGCGACGAGGCGGTCCTGTCGGGCGGGGCGGCCGACGACGTGGCCAGGCTGCTGCCGCGGCTCGCCGACAACGAGCAGCCGGCGCCGCTCATCGAGCGCTTCCTCCAGGAGATGGTCGACCTGCTCGTCTCGGACTCGCTGTGGGTGCGCGAAAAGGCAAAGGAGACGCTCGGCCTCGACCTCGGGCACCGCCTCAACGACATCCTGCTCCGCCAGATCCACGCCGTGCTGAGCGACTTTTTCGATAAGGACACCGGCTACCCAAAGACGGCCGACATGTACACCGTCTTCGTCGAACAGAGCATCGGTGTCGTGTCGATGGTGCTCGGCCGCATGTCGGACGCTGGCGTGGGCGGCGGAAGCGGTGGCGGCAGCGTCGAGGGGACGGCGTCGAGCGTCGACATCGGCTCGCTCATGGTGCTCTACGTCGAGTACGCCAACTCGCTCGGCCGCGGCGAGCAGGCGCTGAGGATCAAGGTGTCGATGTGCCAGATGTGCGAGGCGCTGATGAAGCGCAAGGCCCACTTTGCCTTCACCAATGAATTGCGCGTGCGCAACCGCCTCTTCCAGGCTCTCACCACCTGGACCTCGGACCCGGCCGACGACATGCCTGTCCTGGACAAGCTCGAACGGCTGCAGCGCGAGCTCGACGTGTCGTGCCTCAAGTGCATCTCGATCTTCCTCGACCGCCTGCCACTGCTGCTGGCCGACGATGCGCTGCTGCTCGACGACAAGGTCGAGTGGGCAAGGACCCGCCAGTTCTCGCTCTACTTCAACTACTTTATCAAGATCCTCAACCGTGCCAGGATCTCGGAGGCGGCCGCCAACGAGCGGAGCATCCAGCAGCAGCAACAACAACAACAGCAGCAGCAGCAGCAGCAGCAGCAACACCAGCAGAATCAGCAGCAGCAGCACAAGGGAGGCTACGGCGCCGCGTCGTCGGCATCTGCGGCTGCGACGACAGCGGGGCGCAACACCGGCAAGGATGCTGGGCGGAGCTTCGGCCCGCTGCGCGAGTCGGCCATCCTGGCGCTGTCGAACCTGCTGGCGTCCAACATCGACAGCGGCCTGCACAGCTCGCTGCCGCTGGCCTATCACGAGGACACGCGGATCCGCACGGCCTTCATGCAGATCATGACCAACGTGCTCAACCAGGGCACTGCCTTTGACGAGCTCGAGCGGCTCGGCGCCAAGCACCGGCAGAGCCGGCTGGTGGAGCTCGTGTGCGGGCGCGACCTGCAGCTGGCGCTGTCCATCTGCCAGGTCTGCCGCGGCTGGGACGTCGAGCAGCTCGACACGGTCCTGCTGAGCATCTTTGACTCGCAGGGCGGCATCATCCGCTTCCTCAAGGCGGCGCTGGCCGAGGAGATCCAGATGACGACGACCGAGGAGATGGTGTTCCGCAGCAACTCGTTCCGCACCCACCTGCTCTCGACGTTTGCGCGCACCCACGGCTACGAGTACCTCCGCTCCATCATGGCGCCGCTCATCTCGCAGATGGCCGAGAAGCCCAAGGGCTGGTCGTTTGAGATCGACCCGACGCGCCTCGAGCCGGGCGAGAGCGCCCACCGCAACCAGGCCCGGCTCGAGGAGATGGCGCAGGCCTTTATCGACGCCATCTGCTCGTCGGCCCACCGCGTGCCCGCGGTGCTGCGCGAGTTGTGCCGCCACATCCGCCACCTGATGGACGAGCGCTTCCCCGCCTCGCGCTACCAAGGCGTCGGTGGCCTCATCTTCCTGCGCTTCATCAGCCCCGCCGTCGTCGCGCCCCAGATCATCGACATCAACCTCACCGGCCCGGGCAAGGAGCTGCGCCGCGGCCTGCTCCTAATCAGCAAGATCCTCGTCACGCTCGCCAGCAACAACCTCTTCCCCAGCCACAAGGAGCCCTTCATGACGCTGCTCAACGACTTCCTCAAGAACAACGTGTGGAAGGTGACGGCCTTCCTCGACCAGGTCTCGGACGCGCGGACCGACCCGGACCGCCTGTTCGCCGCCGACCAGCCGCTCGGCCACGGCATCCACCCCTACGGCTACGGCGTCAACCAGCACGATCAGGCGGTGTTGCACAGGTTCCTCTTTGACAATGTCGACAAGATCGGCAAGGACCTGCTGGCCCGGGTCGATGCTGCACCCGCCCCTGCCGCCGCACCACCGGCCGCCGACGACATCGACGGCGACGAGGAAGACGAGTTCGTCGACGACGACGAGGGAGGCGCGGGCGCGGGGACCAACAGGGGCGGCCGGCGGCTGCTGGCTCGGCGCTCCGGATCCGGCGAGTCGCCGCTGCGCGACGGCAAGCGGACCTACGACGAGCTGTGCCACGCCCTCGCCGAGGCGGGCGACCCCAAGATCGACGAGCCGCCGGACCTCGCGTTTGGCGGCGGCAACTTCCAGGAGTTCCTGCGGCGCAACAGCGGGCGCAACATCGACGAGGAGCTCTACCGATCGGTCTTCTACGAGGGACCGCCGTCCAAGGCCGGGCGCCCGGTGCTCTACTACAACTTCCGCAACCAGGCCGCCGAGACCATCGACTTTGAGGGGCTCATCCTCCACTCGCTTCAGGTGCTGGAAAACTACAGCAACCGCCAGTTTGACATGCTCGTCGACCTGACGGCCTGCGGACAGGAGCACATGACGCCGCCGCAGTGGATGCTCTACTTTAGCTCGATGGTGCCGCGCAGCGTCATCAACAACCTCGTCAAGCTCTACGTCCTCAACGTCAACACGGCCGCCAAGGTCTACTGCCGGTCGTGGTGCTCGCCGTCGGGGTCGTCGTCGGCGGGTGGCGGCGGCGGCGACGCGGCTTCGGGGCGGGGCGAGTCGTGGTCGAAACTGGTGCCCGTGTCGGCGCAGCACTTTTGCAGCTCGATCGCCGAGCTCGAGGGCCACATTGACCGGCGCAACCTGGCCCTCGACCCGCAGACGGTGTCGATCCTCACGGCGCCCACCGAGCTGAGCTTTGACCAGATCACCATGGTGTGGTACTACCGCAGCCTGACGCCGGTCCGGTTCCGCATCGGCGGCGAGCACCTGCAGATCACGTCGCTCAAGGCGCAGGAGGTGGTGCCGGGCGTGCCGGCGTGCCTCAACGACGTCTTCCACCTGTCGGACGTCGACGACGTGCGCTCCGTCTCGGTGCGCGGCGACGACAACACGTTCTTCCTCACGTGCCGCAACGGCAGCATGTCGTTCCTCTTCAACAGCCAGGACCGCGCCGAGATTGTCCAGGCGCTGCGTCAGGCCAAGGCGCGCGTGTCCAAGGGCAAGAGCACCAAGTCGGTCGAGCGCACCGTGCGGCCGAGCGACGTTCCGGGCACGCTGCTCAACATGGCCATGCTCAACATCACGAGCGACGACTACGCGCTGCGGCTGAGCGCCTACAACCTGCTGTGCGCCCTCAGCACGTCGTTCAACTTTGGCGCCAGCAGCGCGCGGCGGCGGCTGCTGTGCTCAAAGGCGCTCGCGCTGCCCGCCAACACGATGGCCTTTGTGTCGGAGCTCAGCCGCGACTTTGCCGCGGCCGCGCCTGGCGTCACGCTCGAGTTCCTGCTGTCGTTTTTCGACGGCTTCGAGCGCGCCTCGCCCAGCCAGAAGACCATGTGCCTGCACTACATGTCGCCCTGGCTGCTCAACCTGGTCATGTTTACCCACACGTCGCGCGACCAGCAGGCCGAGTACCAGAAACGGATCAAGGAGATCCTCAACAGCCTCATCAGCATCACGACCAAGCAGCCCGACATGTACGCCATCATGCAGCGCTGCGTGTGGTCGCAGATCAGCAAGCTCGACGACCTGATCCCCGTCTTTCTCGAGGTGTTTGCCGAGGCGGCCATGGACTCGGGCCTCCACACGGCGCGCTTCGAGGCCATCCTGGACACGATGGTGTCGTTTGCCTCGATCAACCTGCGCGGGAAGCTCCTCGCCCGCCTGCGCCGCGCCATCGCCAAGACGGCCCAGAACCCGACCGTGTCCAAGCTGCACGACAACGCCGCCTGGAAGGAGATTGCCACGCTGACCCGCATGAACATGATGCTCTCGTTCACCAGCGGCATCGAGGCGCTCCTCTACCTGCCCGAGCTGCTCCACGTCATCCTCCTCCTCGCCGGCAACGGCGTCGACGCCACGCGTTACTCGATCTACGGCACCGCCGTCAACATGGTCCACTCGCTCTGCACCGAAGACGCCCGCGAGGCCAAGCGGCCCGACGAGTCGATCGCACGCACGCCCGAGGGTGTTGCCCGGCTGCGCGCCCTGCTCGAGCGCTTCGCCGAGCCCGAGTTTGCCCGCCTGTTTGGGCTGCCCCCTGCTGCCGCCGCGGCCACGACGCACGCGTTCAACGCGTCGGCCGACGTGGTGCGCGAGTCGCCCGACAACGACGCCATCGAGCGCCTCGCCTCGATCATGTACGAGGTCGCCGAGATGGCCGCGCCCACCGTCGACGCCGCCAACAGCTGGCGCGCGCGCCTCTCGAGCCTCGTCACCAGCACCGCGTTCCAGTACAACCCCATCATCCAGAGCCGCGCCTTTGTGCTGCTGGGCTGCCTGGCCCAGGGCGAGATCGACGACGACCTCCTCTACCAGATCCTCGTCTCGTTGCGCGGCAGCATCAGCGAGTGGGCCCAGAGCAGCAACGACGCGCCCATGATCAGCATCGTCACCTGCCTCAGCAAGGTCGTCAAGATCCTCCCCACCCGCTCGCGCTACCTGCCGCAGATGTTCTGGCTCGGCGTCTCGATGGTGCAGTACGGCCACGTGCCGCTCTTCAAGGCGGGCGTCGAGCTCATCTACGCCACCGTGACGAGCGTTTGCAAGCGCGGCATCCCGGCGCGCGAGCGCACCGAGATCATCGCGTACCTGCTCGACGCGCGCTTCGAGTTCCGCGAGGCGGCGTGCAAGCTCGACGACGAGACGGGCGTCGACTTTGAGATCAACTTTTCGTTTGGCATGGCGGCGCTCCTGGTCAAGGGCCTGCGCCACCCGAGCACGCGCGAGGCCACCGCCGAGCTGATGCAGGCGATGCTCCGCTTCTGCGCCTTTGACGCCGCGGGCGAACCCAAGTCGCTCGGCGGCCAGATCCACGCCAGCCAGCTGGGATTCTTCATCGGCCTGCTGCCCACCGCCACCAAGCCCGAAGAGTTTGGCCGGCTGCTGCAGCTCGCCGGCGTCGGCGCCGCCCAGTGCGAGGCGGCCGTCGAGGCGCGTCGCGCCGGCTACAACGGCCTGTTCGAGTACGTCGATGTGCTCGAGAACAAGATTGCGCTCCTCGTCGTCACCCTCGTCGCCTCGCTCCTCCAGCACGCCGAGTCCGACGCCGAGCGCCTCCTCCTCTACGGCTTCCTCGAGGAGTCGGCGCGCGAGGTGCCCGCCATTGTCTCGATCCTGTGAGTGTGCCGAGCCGGGCCCGACCGACGCCGAGGCTTGCTCCTCGCCGTGTCGTTCCGAACCCCACCGACTGACCGTGTTGCTACCGTCCCTTCCTCCTTTGCACGTCCTCGTACGCTCCTCCTCGCCGCCGCCGCAGGTACGATTCGCTGGCGCCGGGGATGCGCGAGGTCTCGGTCAACTCGCAGAACGGGGCCATCCTCGATGCGGTGCACGGCATCGCCCAGACGGCCGTCTCGGAGCCCGTGTTTGCGGCCCAGGCCCACGAGACGGCCAAGCGGGGCGGCCCTGGCGCCTACCTCGAGGAGAGCGGCTATGCGAGCCTGCTCGAGTGCGGCGCCTTTAGCCCGCTCAAGGAAGGGCGGCGCCTGGTGCTCGCCAAGCTGTCGACGCAGCTGCTGGCCGGCCTGATTGACGTCGGCACGACGTGAGGCGAGGGGGGTTTTGCCAGGACGAGGAGGGAAAGACGCGGAAGAAGACACGACACGGCGACGGTGACGGCGATGGCGATGGGAACCAGGCGAGACAAGCTTCTGTATCACTGCCGCACTTGCTCTCTCCTCTCCCCCTCTTTTTCCCTTCGCCCTCGATACCGACTACTATTCTGCTGCTGCTGCTCTGCACGGCGCAAGCTGCTCATGGGATCCATCACTTGCTACGATCGATGCGCCGCTGCAGGCAACGAGCGTAACGACGAACGAAGACGACAGACGGGGCTGCTGGCCGCCGCGTCGTTCAGCTGGCCTGCCTGTCCTGCCCGCTGGCTCGGCACGTTGGCACGTTGGCACGTCCACGCTGCCCAGGCCCGGAACCGAGAGGGCAGCTGCGCTTGGTCCAGCAAACTTTTTTTTCCTTCTTCCCCCGGCCTGCCTCTGGGCTGCCGCCCTGCCTCGCCCTCTCTGAATTTTTCCTCTAGCCTGGGCTGGGGCCTTGCTGCATTTGAGTTCAAGGCCGGCAGGCCACCACAGGTAGGCAGGGCCCAGACCAAGCTGGCCCACACCCCGTCAAACCCTAGGCCTCTCGTTCGTGTCCCTCTGTCGAGGTGCGGGTGCGGGTGCGGGAGCGGGCGCGGGCGCCGGCGCGGGTTTGCTCGGTCGTCGTCGGCGGCCAGCAGGCAGGCGGCACAGAGGCGGTGGTGGTGTTGGCCCCCCCCGGACAGCCTGAGGAGGGGCGGGCGAACCCTTTTTTTCTTCTCGCGACCACCATCCACCCATCATCCTCTTCGCACCCTTGATCCATCCCCACCCACACAAAATCATTTCACCATGAAGGTGAGCTTCTGCTCGTCGTCGCCGTCATCCTGCGCGCTGGCTCGACGCCGGCTGTCTGCGAGAATTCCACAATGATCCGACGGCTAATCTCGCCCCCGCTGCTGTGCTGCTCTGCTCTCGCCTCCAAATTTGGCTCTGTCACACAGCTCTACACTGACGTTCTCACCGGCGACGAGATGTGCTCGGACGGCTACGAGATGTGAGTGACGCCAGCATGTCCCTCCTGGTCCAGCGGGCCTGCAGATTGCCCGGGAGAACCCCCAACATTTTCCTGCATGGAAGCCACGACGAGGTCTCGAGAGAGTGCAGTCTGGCTGACCGACGAATTCTCGTCCACTTATTCCGCCCTGCCACCCCGCAGGAAGCTCGTCGACGACATCGTCTACGAGGTCGACGCCGCCAAGATCGTCGTCCAGGAGGGCGACGTCGACATTGGCGGCAACCCCTCGGCCGAGGAGCAGGCCGAGGCGCTCGAGAACGGCGCCGAGCAGGTCATCAACATTGTCCACACCTTCCGCCTCCAGTCGACGTCGTTTGACAAGAAGAGCTACCTGACATACCTCAAGGTGAGTGCGGCCCTGCCCCGCCTCGCCTTGCGCCATCGCGGCGCCTGACCGACGCTGACTCCGCCGTCTGTCCTGTTTCTTGATGCCCTCCGATCCTGCCCGGAATTGGGAATCGCCGTGCCCTCGTTCGCTCTCCGCAGGGCTACATGAAGGCCGTCAAGGCCAAGCTCGAGCAGACCAACCCGGAGCGGGTCCCCGCCTTTGAGAAGGGCGCCGCCGCCTTTGCCAAGAAGATTGTCGGCAGCTTTGGCGACTGGGAGTTCTTCACCGGCGAGTCGATGGACCCCGAAGGGTGAGTAAGCCCGGCCCGGCGGCCCAGCAGGATACAGGAGCAAGGAAGTCCGAGCGCTGCGGCTGACTGTTTTGATCATGGCACTTCCACAACCCCCATCACCCCGCTCCCGCCCAGCATGATTGCCCTCCTCAACTACCGCGAGGACGGCGTCACGCCCTACATCGTTCTCTGGAAGGACGGCCTCAAGGAGATGAAGATCTAAGCAGGCGCTTCGGCCGACCCGTTGCCCTGCATGCGCGCACTGTCATCCTATCCTGATTCTTGTGCCTGTGTGGTTCCACCCGCGGCGCTGCATACCTGGGAGGAGACCGCAATGACACACATACTCCTAGCTGCCCTCCCTTTCGCCGCCTGCTCGCCTGTCCTCGTGTCTGTGCCCGGCCTGTTCGCATGCCCGCCTGCCCGCCTGCCCGCCTGACCGCCTGACCGCCTGCCGGGCTGTCGGCATGACTTGCAGGATGCGAGGACCGTTTGCCCGTCCGAAGGAGTGTGCAGCCGTTTCGTGCGTCACGTCGGCCAAGGTGGTTCGACCAGCACGTCTGCGCAACGCCGTCCACAGCGCCCCCGCTCTTCGGCGTCGAGGGGCCATCGACACCATCGACCGCACCACATCCCAGACCCTCCGACAGCAAAAGATTGCGCGACCGCACGCCTGAGAGGATCGAGCGCAAAAAGATCGACCATGGGCGGGTTCGAACCGACGACCTTGACATCGCGTTTATAACAGTGTCACGCTCTGACCAACTGAGCTACACGGCCAGGATCCAACTGCGCTAACTGGACCGCTGATGTCAGCCTGCTCGAGGTTGCATATATATCCTCAAAAATGTTTTCGGTCATACGTTGAGCCGACCGGTCTGATGAAGCCGAGGTGGCCGTCACGCGGTTGCTGCGGTGCGCTGCAGAGGGACCCTTGGATGATGAGTGAGGGGCGAGGATACGATACAGGTGGATCCCGGATGCTGTGCACGGCGGCGTAAAGTGGGGGGAGACAAAGGAATGGAGAGGAACATGTATGTACACGAAGGAGTTGAAGGGGAGGGGGATGCGGGGACGCGGGGTACGAGGGGCGCCGGGACAGTACCGAAGCCGCATCGGGGTCCGAGCACGGTACGCAGGACGCTGAAGCTGTGCCGTGGTCCAGCGCGAGTGTTCGAGGAGGCAGTGTTTGTGGCAGCAGGAACGCGGTCGTGTCTGGTATTAGCAATTCGTCCGTTGCGGTGGGCCGTGGGGCGGATAGGTTAGAAGAGGTCCTGATGCGGTCAGATTGTGGGGGAGAGACGGCGCGGGTGCAGGTCAAGTCAGCAATAGCCTGGGCAAGCACTGAGTGCTGGACAGAGCCACGACGGCGACGAACCTCGAGGGTGAGCTGCTTTGCGACGTCGGTGTTGGCGACCATCTCCTGGAACTCTTCAAAGTCGAGCTTGCCGTCGCCGTTCTTGTCGGCCTCCATGATGGTCTTGTCGACAATCTGCTGGAGCTGCTGGTCTTTGAGATTGTTGCCAACCATCATCTTGAGGACAAGGAAGAGCTCGCCGTTGGAGATGAGGCCGTCGCGATCCATGTCGTAGACCTTGAACGCGACTGGGGGTGCGGTGAAGGGGGAAGTGGGAAGTGGCAAGAGGGCGGGGGACACGGCCGTCAGTTTCGGGCTGGGCTGGCTGGCTGATCGACCATGACAAAGGCCACGACCGCGACCACTCACAGCGCAGCTTTTCCTCGCGGCTGCCCTGGTTGCTAAAGGCGCTGAGGCCGGCGACAAACTCCTGAAAGTCGACGGTTCCGCCGCCGTCTTCGTCAAAGATGGCAATCATGCGGAGGGCTAATGGGTTGTTTGCGATTGCGGGGATCTGGAGGAATTCGTCCTTGTCGATGGAGCCGGAGCCGTCGCGGTCGAGCTTCATGAAGCGCTTCTTGAGGCGCTGGATCTCCTTTGACGAGAAGTTGGAATTTTGCTCAATCTCCGAGAGGAGCTGGGAGCCTTGCTGGCCCATGGTTGGCAGTTGTGTGTGGTGGAGGGCCGGGAGAGAGGGCGGACGGAGTGGCGGGTGGAAGGGCTGTCGGGGAGCAGGCTGTGGGTGAGGGCGGGGACGGGTCAGGATAGTCGAGTGGTGGCGGCGAAGTGGCGAGGGGCAGGTGTTGGTTGGAGCGGTTGCCGGCTGACCCGCCTGCAACAAAAGGCAGCGAGCGTGGTGGCCCGCGCGAAGCTGGCCTGGACTGGCCTGGTCTTGACTGACCTGACCCTGCGTGATCGACCCTGGGCTGGGTGGGGCAGGCTGCGTGGCCTGGCTGGCCTGAACCCCTCACTTTGGCTGCCCGATTTCCCTTGATGATGGCCCACCGCTCACTCCACTTTGTTGGACTTCTCTCGCTCGAGCCGCGTAACCGTGCCTTGCCTTGTTCCGCGACACCGACCTACAACCACCACCGCCACCACCACCCGCAGCACCTCCCTACACTTGCCCGCCATCGCCGCACGAGTCTCGCACGCACTCCCGTCCTATCCTGTCCTCACAGCACTGCATCAACACCTCGCAACCACATCCACCGCACCAAAGCCAGCCAGCCCGGCACCATGGACCCCGTCGACGTGCAGCACCTCAAAGAGGGCGAGGTCGACCTCGGCACCTCAATCATGGCCGTCGCCTACGACAAGGGCGTCATCATCGGCGCCGATTCGCGCACCACCATGGGCTCCTACATCGCCAACCGCGTCACCGACAAGCTCACCCACCTCGCCGACCGCATCTACTGCTGCCGATCCGGCTCCGCCGCCGACACCCAGGCGCTCGCCGACATCGTCACCTACTATCTCGAAATGTACTCGGTCAACATGGCCGAGCAGCCCGACGTGCGCATCGCCGCAAACATGTTCCAGGAGATGGTCTACAGCAACAAGGACAGGCTCAGCGCAGGCATCATCGTCGCAGGGTGGGACAAGAAGAACGGCGGCAAGGTCTTCAACATCCCCCTCGGCGGCGGCGTCTTCGAGCAGCCGTGGGCGATTGGAGGTGGGTCTCTCTCGCGCTGTGTTATTGATCTCTCCCGCCACGGTATGCTGACCCTCGCCTCGACGCGCTACTCTCACTCCGCTGCTTGCCAGGCTCGGGCTCGACGTACATTTACGGATACTGCGACTCGACCTGGAAGGCCGGCTGGGGCAAGGAGCAGACGATCGAGTTTGTCAAGAACGGTGAGTCCGCCCCTCGGCCTGTCCACCCTGCGGCCAGACCATCGCGCTGAGCGCAACGAGGCTGATCATCATTCTTTCCACTCTGGACGGCACCCTCTCACGACCCACCCGCGCAGCACTGGCGCTGGCGATGCGACGAGACGGCTCGTCCGGAGGCACGATCCGCATGGCAGACATCACAGAGGACGGCGTGGAGCGGCACTTTATCCCGGGCGACCAGCTACCGGAACTCGCCGACAAGATCGTCTAGACGCACTGACTGAGCGCAATCTCACTTCGTCGTTGTAAAGCTGCATGGAAGTACGAGGCGCCCAAGGGCGTCATGAGTTCCGCCCGTGCGGACGAGTGTTAGTTTGCAGCTCGCCGATGTACAAGGTTCTACGGGGCCACTCGAGGGAGCGGGTGGGGAGGCTGCGGGTCGAGATGAGCTTCGCCCTGTGAAGGCATGGAAGTGGACGGGCGGCAGCACACAGCCCGCGGCTCTATTACCGGATGTCCCGGAAGACGACGCGAGGCCGAGAAGTCACTGGACGTCCTCGGATCTCGAACGGAAGAGACGCCAGGCGATGGCCATGTGCGCCGCCCACACACGCTTGCCCCGCCTCCAGCCCTGCTCCAAGGCGTTGCAAAGGCAAGCCTGGTCGTTGCGAGACCACGAGGCGACCGCATCGCGAGATTCGCGCGTCGCTTGGCGACGCTGACCCACCTTCGCCCGCCGCACTGCTCTCTCGCAGCCGACAGTGGACAGTGCTAATTGTTTCAAGACGAAGGCGCACCACCAAGGACAGAGGAGTGCTTGTTGAGCAAGTCTCGCTAACGAACAAGTGCGGATGGCACACATGCAACGACAGAAGACATGCACATGGGCGCGCCTCGAAACAGAGATCGGGGTGGAGGGGTCGCACCAGGCGCAGAAATCTCGACGACTGTCAATCAGGAGTTGTCGTTGTGCAGCACGCCAATCACATGCTGGCCGCCGTAGACTGTGAGGGCACGCGCATGCAGCGATGGAACGTCCGGTAGCAATGGTCAGCTCTGATACACCGACCGCTTTGCTTCCCGGTGCGGGATCCGCCTGAGGCGGAATGGCTCACTGTAGACATAGTACTCGACTCTACGGTGCGCATTCTCGAGCTCGCCGACGGCGCGGGCCGTCTTGGCATTCTTGTTGGCGGGGACGCACTTGATAGTTACGTCCTGGAACAGCGGCCCATCGATCGACGAGCCGAGATGCCACGGCGCCTTTGCGCCGCCGAGGGTGTAGAAGCACAGCTGGCTCGCGTTGTTGTCGTCGGTCGTCACCTCAAAGTCGCCGACGCCCGGCACGCGGTAGCTCAGCGTGGAGGACGCAGTGCACATCTCGGCTGACAGGGTGATGGAGAGGATCGCGGTGGCGATGAGGGAGAGGGCGTTGCAGAGCTTCATCTTGAAGTAGGTGTGAGCGGGATTTGGAGGGAGATCGGATCGAGGCAGAGAGAGTTTTTGCGAGGCTGATGCCGTTGCTGGGAGCGGAAGAACGTTCCGAGGAGCGAAGACAGTTGTTGAGATGAGGGCAAAGGAATGCGAAGACGAGAGCTTCCAGACGGTCGTTATATGGCCAAGAAGCCTGGCTTCACACGTTGCGCGCTGTCGACCATTGAGCGGTTTCAGGCGATGGGCGCTCAAACCTCGAGCGGTCAAGCATCGACCGGCCAAAGGTCGAACGGTTGCCCGAGGTGGGGTTTGCATCCATAGGGCGGGTTAGATTCCGTCGAGCAGAGAGAGCGACCCAGCGGGTATCGCACCTGGCAGGGCTTCCACCGTCGAGGGGTAGCCATGTGTCGGGCCGGGTCGGCGTTCGGGGCCTACGTGACAAGTGGGGGGACCGAGGTACAGACGTCGTGAGTGGGGAAGGATGGACCCGGACGGTGAACGAGGCGAGCCGATGGCTTAGCGCGTTGACCTCTCTCGACGCCCTTTATTCCGCCCAGCGGTCAGAATCTCGCTGTGGACCCATTGCTATCATTGGCCGGACTACCGCCGTCGGCCTCATGACGTGGCTCAGCCCGCTTGGCCAGATGTGGGAGGAAGGACGAGGAGCAGAGCTGCGACATCGAGTGCCGGGATGACCGGATATCTGTCCGGGTGCGCGGCGATGAGGTCTACAGAGAAAGGCAGGGACGGTTGACGCCTGGACGCGCCGTCAAAGACCGACTCGGGCTACCGCTGAGCAAGATTGTGAGCGTCGCGGTCGAGGTGGGAATGGCGAGAGACCGGCGCACGACTGCGTTGAGCATTCATACTGTCGACGGGATGCAGGCACACCAGAGACACCAATTGAGCCCATCATCACCGATATCCGGAGCCCCGGCTGACGGTTCGCGCGCCGCCTAGCGACGAGGCGCCCGGTCCACCGACGGCCCGCCTCGTGCTCGAAGGGCTCGTGGAGCGTGCATTGCCTGCGTTGCCAGCACTGCCCGATAGGTGCATGCCGAAGAACGATGGCGACGACGTCGACGCCGGCACCCCGCTCCCACTGGCGGTAGCGTCTCCGCTACCCGGGTAGCGCCCAGCGACCGCGCTCCTTGCACCCGGGCCTACCGGGTTGAACGGGCTGGGGCCGGCCGTCGAGCCAGACCTGGCACCGCCGTTGGCCGACGACCCGCCGCTGAGGGACCCTTGGACGGTCTGACTCGCACGCCTGCGCCCGCCCACGGTACCGCCACCCGTGCGGAGTGGGGCTGCGCCACCGCCCCCGCCGCCTGCCGAGGACAGCGCCGAGTTTAATTGGCCAATCATGTGGGTGTTGCTGTCTCCGATGCCGCCACCGCCGGCGCCTGCAAGGCCGGCCCGTCGAGCGCGCTCGTGCCGGGCCTGCGTGACCTTGAAGTGGGTGAGGAGCTCTGCCCACTTGATCTCGTCCCGTGATGCTGTCTTGCCCGGCCCGCGGATCGTCTGGGCGTAGCTCGATCGGGGCACCGAGTGCAGGAAGCCGAGGCCGTTGACGGCGTTGAGCCGGTTGCGGAGCGTGACAAAGGCCGAGCTCTGCGGCAGCAGCATCAGCAGGCCGTACAGGCACTTGAACAGATACGGGTGCTTTTCGGGCTCGAGCAGCTGAAGACGCAGCGCGGTAAAGATGGGCGACTCGAGTAGCTGGACCAGCTTGTCAATCTGGATCAGCAGGCTGACGGTGATCTCGAGCTGCTCGGCAAAGATGCCGAGAAGATTGCTGGCGTGCTCGTAGGCCTGGGCCAGCAGGCAGAGGCTGAAGGCGGCGACGGCGTTGTGGCACCAGCTGCGGTAGATGCTGGCAAACAGCGTCTGGCCGTCCCTCGAGTCGAGGTTGCGCAGGCGCTTGCGGAAGTCGGCCAGCTCGGGCGAGGTGATGAGGATGACGTTGAGGTTCTGGACCATGATGCTGGCAAACTCGAGGTCCTCGTCCTTTTCGAGGATCTCGGCGAGCGTGCGGAAGATCCTCTCGGTGTGCAGCGAGGCGCAGAGCTGGCGGATGATGAGGCTGCCGCGGGTCTCGAGCAGCCGACGGTCGGTGCTGAACAGGCTGAGCAGGTTGGCCATAAAGGCGTGGAAGTACGAGTCCTCGGATGCCGAGCTGATCTGGGCGAGAAGGCGCAGATCGCAGCGGATGACCTCGTCGCTCGGGTCGGACAGGGTCTTGAGCAGCGCGGGAAAGGTGCCGTCATCCATCGAGAGGATCTTGCGCGGGCATTTCTGATGGAGCATCAGCAGCCACTCGAGTGCCGTCACTCGCGTCTCTTCGTGCTCGTCGAGCAGCTGGAGCGTCAGTGCATTGACCGTGGTCTGGTAGTCGAAGGGATCGCGGTCCACCACGGTCGGCGATCGCGACCGCGACTTGGAGGCTGGCGCTTCGAGCTGAGTGGCCGTGCCAGCGCCTTCTTCGATCCGCGCGTTGGCAAGGCTGGCCGCGATGCTGTCGTGCTCCGAGGACAGCGTTGCGGCTCGGCTGCGCGGCGAGATTGGCGGTGAAAAGGCGTCCCGCAGGTTCGATGGCCCGGCGGCACCTTGCGACGAAGGCGCCTGCCTCCGCGCTACCGTGTCGGTGTGGCTGGCCGGCGTCGAGGCGCTGGGGACGATTGACTTGTCGGCAGCTTTCCCGGCGGTCGTCGTCGTCGGGCTGCTGTTGGCCGCGCGATCCTTTCCGATCCGCTCGCGGACATCGCCGGAGTTGGAGCTCGGCGGCCGCACGATCTGCGGCGGGGGAACGGGAGGAGCAGGAAGCTGCTGGATGACACTGACGAGGTTGGCGTTGGTGGCGTTGGCGGCAGCCGCGATGGCCGGGCTGTGGTGAGCCAGGCTCGGCAGGATGGCTGGGATCAATCGGGGCGTGAAGGGCACGACGACGTCCTTGACGACAAGAAGCAGCTCGGCAATCCACTGGAGCGTGGTCGCCTGGATCTCTTCGTCGGGATAGCTGATGTGGTTGATCAGGATGTCCATGATGGCGGCGTAGTCGATGCGGATCTCGTGGCCGTGGACCCAGATGTCTTCCTCTTCGAGCTCGTCGTCGTCCTTGTCGATCACGCTGCCCTCGCCCTCCCCGCAGGCGCCGGCGGCCTCTGTCCCTAGACCGTCCCCGCTTGTAGCCACGGCCTCGGTCTGCTGCCCCTGCGGCGCGTCCTGATCCGGCGCCTGCGAGGCGCTGGTCGTGCCCGTGTCTGCGGACGCCGTGGCCTTGCGCTCCTCAGCCTGCCGCCTCGTCTTTGCCGCTCTTTCCGCCCGTCTCTTCTCCGCCTCGGCGCGCAGTGCATTGACCTCTGCCGCTTCGCGGATCTCGCGGAGGAAGTCGGCGAGGACGTTGGCTGTGGCTACGCGGACATCCGTGTTAGGGTCGCTCAGGTACTTGAGGAGACCGTCGAGAAAGGCGGGGAGGTAGCTAACCAGCTCGAGGTCGGGCACCGAGTCGAGTACGGTGATCCAGCTGACGAGGTAGTTGCGCGTAAAGGGGCTGAGGACGTATATACGGTCCGCCAGCAGCGGCACGAACCTGGCCAGGGAAAAGACCTTGTTGGCGGCCGTCCCCTCGGCGTCTGCGATGAGGCCGTGCGCCTTTTCCCTGGCGACGTCGAGCTGGGCCGTGCCTCCGCTTATGCCGCTGGCCGCATCCTGTCGAGAGCGGATGAGGGCGATGTCCTGATACTGGGAGGCGTAGTGTGGCGCGGCCTCGCAGACGACGTCCTTGAGAAGCCGGTCGAGCAGCTCGGCCCCGTTCTTGACCGAGAGCTCCGAGTCAGCGGCGAGCTGCGGTAAGTGCAGTCGAGGGATGTAGGAGCGCGTCGACGGTCAGCGCATCGTCAGACTCAAGGGGGGGCGCGAGCGTCGGGGGCGCACCTTGGAAAGCGAGTCGAAGATCTCGTTGAAGTAGACGAGGATCTCGCCCTTGCACACCTTGGCGATGTTGTAGAAGCTCTCGCAGGCAAAGTACCTGGGCAGGGCAAGACGCCAGGGGGCAGAGAGTCAGCGATGGCAGCCCGGGTTCGGTCCGGTCGGCGGGGCCGGCTTGGCACTCACCGGATCTTGCTGTCTGGGTCGGCAAAGCACTCGAGCACGGGCTTGGCAATCTGCTCGAGGTACGGCGCAATCTCTACGCCGAGGGCGATGCCGATGCCGGCCAGCCCGATGAGACCGCCGTTGCGCGCGTTGACATTCTGCGGCGACGCCGTGAGGAGCGAGCAGAGCTGCTGTACGATGAGGTTGACGCGAGCGCGATCTCCTCTAGCCAGGCAGTCGCGCACTTGCCTGGCGAGGCAGAGACGGAGCAAGAGAGGCAGAGGCCGAGACCGGGGGGATTGGGGGCAGATACTGATCAGCGCTTGCCTCGGCCTTTGCCGGGAGCGGGGCCACATCGGCCCATCGGCGCGACTTACCGTTCCAGGTCCAGGGTGGCCGCCTTTCGCTTGTCGTAGACGCTGTTGAGCAGCGCCTTTTGCAACGCGGCATCCATGGCTGGCTAGGGAGATTGCCGAGGCTATCTAGGCGGGCAAGACGACCGCCGTAGCCTTTGGTTGGATCAGAGGGCCTCGGGAGGCCTCAACACGGCGATATCTATGAAGTGATGCTCTCTGTCGGGACAGAGCCGACGTTGGCGCCGTCGAAAGCAGAAGGAGGTTGCCCGTCGGAAGGCTGCCGGTGCGGTGCGGAGGCCGAGACGTGGGCGCTGACGGGAGAGAAGAGTGACAATGGATCGAGGTCGAGGTCGATGTCGTTGAGCAGAGAGGGTAAGCCTGGCCTAGGTTGGTGAGTACGTTGGGATCCGAGGCCCATCGGTCCTAGGGCAGGCAGGGGTCCCTGCATGTCGCTCGAGCCTAGCTGGCCGGCCTCCCGCTTAGCCTGGACTGGCCTGGCCCGAGCTTCTCAGGGCGACTGGGCGAGCACGCGTCCTCTTGTGGAGGTATGATGCAGCCACCCTCGCCGGCCAGAGGACCGGACGGCCAGGGGCCTGGCCAAGCCTGGCCTGGCCTGTCTTGGGCGAGATGTTCGGTGGCCAGGCCAGGCCAAGCCCAGCCCCGGCCAGCGGGCGGGCTGCCAAAAAAATTCAAGCGAAAATCTCCAATTTTTTTTCGTTTCTTTCTCGTTTTCGTCCTGGGCCCCTCGCCCCGCCCTCTTAGCCTGACCAGCAGCGGGCCTGGCCGTCTAGTTCGGCGTTGTGGTGCTGCAGCGGCGACCCCTTTCGCCTTGGGCCTTGGTTGCCTCTGTCTGTCCAGCTCGTCAAGCTTGCCCACCCACCCTCTAACCTCTCTTCTCCATACGACAGCAACAAGGACTCGCATCGTCATCTACCTCTGACCAACGACGGCGGCGTCGCATCACCCTCTCTTTTGCAACACCTCGGACGCGTCTTGTCTCTGCCCCTGCGTAGAGCAAGCTCGACGAGATCGACGAGCACACAAGAGCCAAAGTATCGTGCAGCAGCGGCGGCTCGACTCGAGATCCCTAGCCTCTTTGTCACCTCGCGCGCTCGCAGCTTCGCCTCCGCGGCAATGGCCCAGGTCGCTGCACGGTCGGCACAGCAGGCCAATGGCTCCTCGCCGCGCCACTTTCACGCTGCCGGCCACCATCGGAAGGGCAACAGACAGCCGGACTCGTCCTCCAGCCCGCGGTCCTTCTCCGGCGACAAGCTCAAACGCTCCGCCAGCTTCTCCGCATCCTCGCTCCCTGCGACACCCACCCACAAGCATACCAAGTCCACCTCCTCGGTGTCCAAGGATGTCTCCCGATCGGCCGACGGCGGCGAGCTGCAGGCCACCATGAAACAGCGCGGCATGCTCCACGCGCTCCTCGCCGAGCCGGTCCGCTTCGTCAAGTCCAACGAGAAGCAGGGCCAGGACTACTCGTCGATGGGCATCGTACCCGTAAACGAGGCAGGGGCCAGGCCCAAGGCCAACGGCAAGGCCTCCGCCGACTCCCTGATGCTCCACACCTCGTCGCCCAAGCTCAACGGCAACGGACCCACGCATTCGGCGACAAGCGCCAACGGCACCAGCGCGGAAGCCGGTCCCTCTTCCCTGGCCCCCGCCTCGCCGACCAAGGCCAAGAAGCAGGCGCGCGACTTCTACCCGTACAAGATCTCGCTACGCTTCCCCGGCAAGGTGCGGCCGGCCGCCACGGGCCTGTCCAACTACGGCAACACCTGCTACATGAACAGCGTCATGCAGGCGCTCGTCCACACGCCGCCGCTTGCCTACGCGCTGCTGACCCAGGAGCTCGAGGCGCTCCACGGCGAGTGGGGTGGCAAGCCCAACGTCAACTTTGACGCCGTCGCTGCGCTCCACAGCTTTGCCAAGCGATCGCTCCAGGGATCCCGCAACGTCAACGCTCCCCAGGAGTTCAACCGCAACCTCAAGGCGTTCGCCAAGCCGCTTCGCCAGGGCAGGCAGGAGGACGCGCACGAGTATATGCGCTTCCTGCTCGAGGCCATCCAGCAGTCGTGCCTGTCGCGGGCTCCCAAGGGCTTCAAGCCCGACGACCCAGCCCGGCAGACGACGTTTGTCCAGAAGATATTTGGCGGCAAGCTGAGGAGCCGCGTCACCTGCCACAACTGCAACCACAACTCCGACACCTTCGACCCGATCATGGACCTCAGCCTCGACATGCGCAAGGGCATCAACTCGCTCGGCGACGCCTTCCGCGCCTTTGTGGCCAAGGACCGGCTGACGGGAAGCGAAAAGTACCGCTGCGACAGCTGCAAGCGCCGCGTCGACGCCACCAAGCAGTTCACGATCGAAAAGGCGCCGCTTGCGCTGACGATCCACCTCAAGCGCTTCACCATCTTTGGCGGCAAGATCTCGCGGCAGATTGCGTTCGAGGACTCGATCAACATTGCCCCGTACATGTCCGACCGCTCCGGGTCGGCGCGGTATCGCCTCTATGCCGTCGTCCACCACTACGGGTCCGGGCCCAACAGCGGCCACTACGTGGCGAGCGTCAAGTCGCCATCGGGCAAGTGGACCCACATGGACGACAGCCACGTCTCGGAGATGAACCGCCAGGGCCCCATCGGCGATGCGAGCGCCTACATCCTCTTCTACCTGCGGGAGGAGAAGGAGGCGCTGGAGCAGGCAATCTCGGCCACCGCCGGCGTCGGTGGCGGCGGCAAGGGCAAGGCCTCACCGGGGTTTCCCGGAGCGCAGGAGGGCGCGTCTTCGAAGAAGCGCAAGCAGTCGACGCGGTCGGAGCTCGACGAGAGGGATCCGGACAGCTCGGACGCGGATTCGTCCGACGACGACTCGGGCGCAGCACCGCCAGCGTCCTCGATGGCTGCCAAGCTCCAGCGGTTGTCCGACAAGCAGCGGCAAGAGCTGCTGCGAGCCAGAGCCAAGTCAGCGGCGTCATCGCCTTCGCAGACCTCGGAACTCGCCAAGCCGCAGAAGAAGAAGCCCAAGCAGCAGCGCAGGGACACGGCGGCCGCCTCCGGCGCCAGCGAAACTTCGGAGCAGGAGAGCGACGGCGGTCCGTCCGGTCGTACGACGTCGAGCGCCAAGTCGAGCAAAGCCCTCGACGGGCTTCTCTCCTCGAAGCCCAAGTCGGCGGCGAGCTTCTATGGTTCTAGCTCTGGCGCCAAGAAGGTCAACGGGTTGCTCGACTTTGGCGACGAGGACGGCGACGAGCTGGGCACGGCGGTGGCGCGCGACGAGTACGAGAGCCTGGTGGGCTCCAAGGCCAACGGCAAGCCCGCCTTCGCCCTTGCGTCGTCGGAAGCGCCGAGCGACGACGACGACGACGGCTCGTCCGCCTCTGCGCAGCGTGTGCCGCTGTCCAAGAAGCAAAAGCGGCTGCAGAAGAAGGCGGCGTCCTCCGTGGCCCTCGCCGCCAAGCGGGGTCCGACTGCGTCGCCCTACGCGCTGGCGCAGATGGGCGGCGGTCACGGGCCCAACAATGCATCGGGCAGCGCCAAGAAGAAGAAGAACAAGAACAAGCACAAGGGCAAGCCCGACGGTCCCAGCGGCAAGCTCGCCTCTCGGATGAAGCCGCGATCGACGTGACCCGACCCGCCCGGCCCGCTGTCCTGCCTGCCTCCTGTCCGTCTTCACTTGCATGCCTGCTAGCGCTGCTTGCTTCCTTCGTGCCTTACCCCCTGCCCGTCCCCAGCATTAGCATCATCATCGAATCCTAATCAGCATCGACCCTGCTTATCCCACACGCCACATCCACGTCGCCGTCTGTCTGTTGTATGTGGTACGTGGCGAGACCGCGGTGTGGATGCGGTAGAGCGGGACTCTTCTGCGCGCCGCGGCTGGCTCGGATAAAGTGGAGAAGCGAAAAGGAAGAAAGGGATCCACGCGCCCGTGCGCGGCCAGAGACAGGTCGGCGTGGGGAGCTGAGAGAGCAACACTCAGGACTCTGTGTCGCTCGCACCACCACCACCACCACCACCATCAGCAACTCCACCAACACCACCACCGACACCACCAGCACTTCCAACAGCCTCTAGCAACGAGCATTAGCGCCTGAAGCACTTCGGTCTCGCACCACGGTCTCGCACTTCCATCTACACTCAAAACCGTCGATCACGAGGGGCAGGATGAGCGACACGGCCGCACTCAAGCGACAGCTGCAGATCAAGACGGGCGTGGTGAAGCGGTACGTCCCTCTCCGCCTCCGCCGCGGGCAGCAGCACTATGCAACCCTCTGACTGATCGCTCGCATCCCATCCCATCCCGCTTCGTGTTCCCTCGCTGCATCGCTTCTCGAACCCGGATTGGACATTGCCAGTCTGACGGCGGAATCGGCATCGTACGTCCAAGAGGCAGAGGAGCAGCAGAGGAGGGTGGACAAGTTCGTCGCCGAGGGTCGAGACGAGTGGGACGTCAAGAAGCAGGTGAGCAGGCAGCCCAGGGCCCGCTGCGAAACCCTTAGCCTTTGGCAACCTTCGCTTTTGTCACAACGCCCCGTCTCCTGGGGTACCTTTTTTCGGTGTCGCTGACTCGACATCGATCCTGCACCGCTTCGTTGCGCGGCATTGGCAGAGAGAGGTACTCGAAGACTGCCGCAAGATGATCCCCGACTGCCGAAAGCGACTCGAAAAGGCTACAGAGGATCTCGAGGTGTTGCTCGTACGTCTGCCGTGCCCTTCTTCCCTTCTTTATATCTGCCTCGTCGGCAATGTAGGGGGGCTCGACGACTGACATTCCATCCTACTGCTCTGCTCTGCGCCTCGTCTTGGCCTGGCCCGGCCGACCTATGCAGGAGGGAATCGGAAACGAAGACGCGGCGCTCGAGGAAGAGGTCAAGACTGCCCAGTCGTTCTGCGATAAGGCTAGGCAGAGCCTCAAGGCTTGAGACAGCGTTCAGGCACGCGGGGCGGGGGTCCATCCTGTCGAGTCGAGTCGAGTGCAGACGGGCTCAGACGAGCTCGGTGACAGCGAACGCTTCGACTCGCACCTCGACCAGCCATCGACCCGACCTTCTAGCACCTACCTGGTCGGAGCCGAATCGCAATCCCGTTTCATTGCCTGTGCGTCCGTCGCGAGGCAGTCTAGTCTGCGCAATGAAGCATCACACGAGAGCATCGCACGGCGCAGGACCTAAACGAGCGCGCGCGTGGGAGAGAGGGAGAGAGAATGGGGGGGCGGCACGTGGGACTCTGATTCTTCGCTTGGACCGAGGGTACTAGCACAACAGGGCGGGGGGCAGAGCGGGGGCGGGGGGCGTCTGTCTGGGGAGATGAGGCCATCCATCGGACCAGGATGCGAGTGGAATGGACGGCGGGGGCAAGGGTGGAAAAGAGAAGCGCGGGGACCGGGTTCGGGGCCGGGGAAAGCAAGGCACGAAGGGACGAGAAGAGACCAAAGGGTTGGAGGATGAAAGGGAAGCGCAGGGGTTTCGAAGGAATGAGAATGGGTGGGCAGTGACTCTTTTATGTAGGAAGGACCGAAAGTTGGGGGGGCTTCAAAGGGGGCAGGCAGGCGGGGTACATGTAGACGCGCGACATGGGCGTCACCGTGAGCGAGCGGACGGGCGGGCGGGGGTTTCCTCTACGCCTCTAGTCTCTACCGGATCGAGGAAAGTGGTGGTGGTGGCTGTGATGATGATGACAGAGAGGAGAAGCTGATGCCCTTGTCCGAGAAGGGGAGGCCCGCAGAGACCAAAAACAAGGCTTTGGGACGGGAGAGGGCGTGACTGATGGATGCCGGGCGCAGCAGGCCATGGCGCACCGCCGCCGTGCAGAAGAGCAGAGACAAACGGGCAACAATGACACCCACACCGCACGGATGTGGACGGGCACGAGGCAGCTACCGCCGCCGCCGCCGCCGCCTCCGCCGCCGATTGAAACGATGATGGATGGGTCGGGTCGACTCGAGGCTGGCCGAGTCGAATCTAGGCCTTGACGCCGTAAAAGAGGATCGAGTGGAGCTGGCTGACCGGGGGAGCGCTCGGGGAGCAATTTTGCCGTGATGCTGGATGACTTGAGAAAACGAGCGAGGCGAGGAGCACTGTACACGTGAAAGCAGGAGACCGGGCGACCCTTGGATGGACGGATGACGCTGGAGATGTCGAGTCGATATGGCAATGCCGGGAAAGGGGCCCAGCCCGGCTGCGGCGGAGTCGTGTGTGGTTGCAGCCGGGCATGGGTTGTCGGAAGCCGAGGAGAAAGTCGGATGAGACGCACGGAGCGGGGCAGAGGGTTGCAAGAGGGCCTCCAGAGACCCTCGAGATCCCCCTCTTCCTTGATCGGGGCTGATAGCAACGGAGTCATGTCGGAAAGGGCCTTGAGCGTGGGTATTCCGTGAGGACGGAGCGCGGAACTTGCTGCGAATGCTGGAGAGGGGAGCACGCGCGGCTCCCGAAGCTTGAGAGAGAGAGAGAAGAGCGGAATGTTTCGCCGATGGCTGGGACGTCCAGATGCAAGGGCACGGGAGCATCGAGGTATGCACCAGGGCCTTGAGAGGCGCAGTTGATCTTGACGGGCGTGCCAGGCAGACGGCTCGAGGCATCGAGCTGCAACCATGGCCGGAGAGTCAGCGTCTGCGGCTGCGGCTGAGCAGATCTGATCCGCCCAGAGACCGAATGAATCGTCAAATCACGCTTCTATGCCGCCGCCGCTGTCGGCATCGCGTCGGGCATCGGTGCGCTGCAGGTGATCGTCGTTGCCGTCGGGAGGCAGCTCGGTCTTGCCGCCGACGACCGGCGAATCAGCGGGGCTGAACGGCGAGAAGAGGAAAGCGGACGGATCGCGCGTGTAGCCCGTGCCGTGGGCGCCGTCGTTGGGACCAGTGCCCTCCCTCGACTTGTACACCGGGGGTCCTCGAGGGGCATCGGCAAAGTGCAGGCTTGCGAATGCGTGCGCGAGGTCATGACCGTCGCTGGCGCCGTTGCCAGCGGCGGGATACATGTGCTGCGGCTGAGCGGGCTGCGTCCTTCCAGCGATGTGGTCCGACAGGCCCGGCGCGTTGGAGGCGGCCAGGAGTTGCTGCAGAGTCGATGGATTGATGGATGCCAGCGACTCGTAGGTGTGCTGCAGGTGGCGATAACCATCAGGGCCGTCCATGTGCGACGGCTGGTGCGGGGGAAAGGGGTGGTGCGGCGCATGGTGGAGCGGCTGCTGTTGCGGATGCTGATGCTGCGGGTACGGGTTCTGGTGCTGATGCTGGTGCGAGAGTGGGTGCTGCTGCTGCTGCTGCTGCTGCTGCGTCTGCTGGTGATGGTGATGATGCAGGGCCGAGGGCTGGGACGGAGGACGCTGCTGGACCGGAGCGGGCCTGTAAGCCGACGATCCATTGGAGCTGGCAGCTCCCGCATTGGCCGCGGCCAGCTGTCGGGCCAGCGTCGACAGGGGGTCGTTCGAGAAGGCGGCGTGGTCGCCACCGCCAAAGTGCGAGTGGCCGCTAGAGGATCGGTTGGCGCTGGCCTGAGCCGCGCTGAGGGCCGAGCCGAGGCCGGCCAGCTGCGCCAGCTGGGAAGGCGTCAAGGCGCTGAGCCCGGCGAGTCCGGCGAGGTGACCCAGCTGGCTCGCCTGCTGCACGGCCTGAGCGGCCGCGGCCGCCGCCTTGTCCCCCTGGCTCCGGCCCCAGCTCAGCCTGATGCGAGCGTTGCCGACGGGGAAGCCGTTCATCAGGTTGATGGCACGCTCTGCATCAGCCTTGTGGACGAACTGAACGAAGCCGCAGCCCTTGCCGGGAGGGATTTTGACGTAGGTGATCTCGCCGTACGGCTCAAAGAACTGGCGCAGCGTGTCCTCCGAGATGAGCGACGAGAGGCCGCCCACAAACACGGTCGTGTTGTTGGGGTCCATGGCGCTCGGTTTGGGCGGTCCACCGGCGGCGGCGGCGGCAGCCGAGCCGGCGCTGGCCGGGGTGAAGGTGCGGCCCGAAGGAGGCGAGACGGTGCGATCCAGCATGTCGTTGCCGGCCCCTGCGTAGCCCGGCAGCTGGGCGTGTAGGGCGGCTAGGCCCTGCTGCCCGTTGAGGCCGGCCTCGAACGGGGAGCTAGGCGTCAGGGGCGAGGCAAAGTGCATCATGTGCTGCTGCGGCGGTGGCGGTGGATGCATCCTGGGCTGCGGCGAGGCAATGTTGCGGCCGTACAGGCCGTGCTGCAGCAGGTAGGCCGCCGACTCCTCTGCGGCGGCATGGTGCGGCTTGGGCATCTGGAGCGGGTGCGGGTGGGCATCGGAGGCGCTCGCCACCGAGTTGGGCGAGTTGCGGCTCTTTGGCGTCGCAGTGCTCACCCGCAGCGGCCGGCCGGGCGAAAGGCCGTTGGCCGGAGAGATGACCACGCCCTGCATCTCGATCAGCGCCCGGTTGCAGTCGGCCTCGCGGGTGAAGCGCACAAAGCCGTAGCCGCGCGAAGCTCCCGTGACGGGGTCAGTCATGATCTTGGCCGACTTGGTCGAGAGGAACGGAGCCGGGCCCACGCGGGCGCCCGGTTGGTGGATGCCCTGCATCCGCTGCGCGTGCGCGTGTGCGATGGCAAAGGGATGCTGCGGCGGCCACGGCGGAGGCTGGAGGAACTGGGTCACCAAGTCCTCCTCGCGCAGGTCCGGACTGAGGTCGCCGATGAAGATGCTGAACTCTGGCTCTTTGGACCCACCGCCGCCGCCACCGGCGGCAAAGGCGGGTCTGCCAGGGACCTGGTGGAAGTCCCGACTGGCGGCGAAAGTGCCATCCGAAAGCGACGACTTTGGTCGCTCGTGGAGAATCGACACTGGCGAAGGCGAGGGCGCAAAGTCGAGAGGCCCCTTGGGATACATTGGCCGACCTTCTGCGATGCGGTCCGCGCCGGGCATGGCACCCTTGGGCGGCGGTGGCGACGAAGAGTGCTGCAGCGGCGCCGGAGCCTGGCCTGCTCTGGCCGTGTCCATCAGCATCCCGGGACCGAAGAAGGAGCCTCGCGACAGCGGCGATGCTGTTCGTTCGAGGTGACCCTGCTGTCGAAACCGGGAGCTGGCGTCCAGAGAGACCAGGCGAGACGCGCCATCGTCCGGGAAGACGCCCCTGGGCATGGCGAAGCTGGTGCCGTTGCGCAGCTCGGCATCGGCGATGGGATCGCTCTGGTACTGCCTTGGTAGCGAGACACCGCCATTAGGGGCGCTGGTCGACATGCCGGACGTTTGGGTTGTTGTTGTGGTCAGGCCAACGACCTCGTCCGAGGCGGGGCCAAATGAGCTGGGCGTGCGATCCGGGATGGGAGGTCGGCCGAAGCGGTGACGACAGCGGAAGCGTTGAGCCGTGGGAGGCGTCGTGAGGTCGCGGTGGCGGGCGGACTAGGAACGGATCGCAAGAGAGGGAAGGGGAAGGCGAGGCTGGGGAAGAAAGCCTGATCTAGGGTGGTGAGGGGAGCTAGGTGGGTCGGGTCGGAAGGTGCGGCTCCTGTGTCCGGAGAGATGTCGATGGGCGTGCTGGTGAGACGGGCGGCCGTGCTTCTGTTGCTCAGGTGGTCGCACCAGGCAGGCAAGCAGGAGAATTGGGCGGGGCGGACGAGCAGAGACGTGTCGCGACAGATGAAGGGGGCGCGGTGGACGGCCTGTGACAGAGTTTGCGGTCCGAGCTGCGCAGGAACACTACTCTACCGGTCGGGTCCGGGTTCTTGCTGCCTGTCGACCACAGTGGCGGCCAGGTGTGCGGCCGCAACCGTCAACGGAGGCGTGTCGGCCCGGGCCTGGGCGCACGTACGTATGGCGAGCAGCCGAGAAGCAGCGCTCGGGGCTCTGCGCTTGGAAAAGGGACGACGATCGATGTACCCTGTGCCCAGCTTGTGCGACCAAGTCGACGAGCGGCGCTGCAGCTAGTGCAGATGCTGTGGCACCTCGGAAGGGGTAGGTCCGGGTTGAGGCGGAGGCGGGCGGGCGCCGTGCAAGGGCGGACGGCGCCTGAACCTTGTACGGCTGGCGGGTGCGCGGCGGCCGTTTATGAAGTGGTACGGCTAACAGCTGGCTCAAACGCGAATTGGCACGCGTCTCTGGTGCCGCCGCCGGGGGTGATTGGGATGGTCGGGAGGCGAGTCGAGCTGCAGGCAAGCTGACTTTTTCGGTCGTCCAAGGGGATGCTGGATGCTGGTGACGCGGCGGTACGACGGGCCCAAGGAAGGAAGGAAGAGGGCGGCGGGAAGGGCGTGCGTGAATCTAAGATGTAGAGGCGGAGGAGGAAGTATGGCCGAGTGTCGGTTCGTTAGAGAGGCAGGATCCCGGAATGGTACGGTATGCAGGTGGCGGATCGTGGAAGGGCTGCGAGCGAAGGCCTGAGCGGCAGGGTTTCCGTGTATGGCTGAGGAGGGGATCGTCGGTTCGCCGATGCAGGGAGCGGTGATGGGAATGGTGATGGCAGTGAAGGGCAGGGAAAGGGGTTGATGGTCGTGAACAGAAGTGTGCAAAGGGTCGGATGACGGGTAAGAAGGGGACAGAGAAGAGAGTAGAGCGTGTGACGAGAGAGTGCCGGGTGAGCGGAAGGCCGGTCGGGCAGGAACAGAGCAGAGAAAGCCTCTCTCTGTCTACGCGCACAAAAGGATGAGCCGAGATGGCGGACGGGCAAAACCTGATGGGCGAGGCAGGGCAGGGCAGGGCAGGGCAGGGCAGGGCAGGGCAGGCTAGAGGGCGGGGCCAGCGAGGCTACGGTAGGGTGTGAGACAGAAGGCGAAAAGCGAGCGAGCTGAGCTGCCTACAGACCAAAGGATGCAGAGCAAAGCGCGCACGGCAAGAGCGCACCACGGGCAGCTAGACTAGTACATACGGCCAGGAGGACGGGTCGTGCAAGCAAGCAAGGAGGCGGCGACAGGTCAACGACGGGGCGATAGAGCGCGTGCAAAGGCGAGGGCAGGCACGGCACAAGACACAAGAGGGAGCCCAGCAGGGCACGGCCAGCGCGTGGGGCCGCGAGGCCAGGCCTGCCACCAGCTACCGTACTTAGCATAGGAAAGGCCGCGAGGGCAGGCCAGGCCAGGCCATTCTTCAATCGCCGACACCGCCGCCGCGCTCGCCGCTCGCCGCTAGACGCTCGCCGCCCAACCGCACGGCCGCTGGGGCCGCCGCTCGCCGCCGCCACCAGCACCGTACCAGCACCACCACCACCACCACCACCGCCGACCAAACGCCCGCTTTCATTTGGCCTGCCTGGCTTCCTGTTGTACATATGTACATAGCCTTAGCTTTCGCCCGCCTCGCCAGGGCCCGCCGCGCCGCACCGCACTCAGCCTGAAAGAACAGGTACCCACGGGCACAGTCGTCGTCGAGCGGGTCGTCGCTGCGCATGCACACTCGGCTGTCTGCCAACCGCCCATCGTGAGATTCGAAGCTTAAGGCCAAGCCCCACGAACAGAAGACAGAAGAGCTAGCCCAAGTCCTGGAGGGTTGGCCAGCGGGTTCCTGCCTGCTCCCGCTCGACCTCGCCTGCCCCCGTTCGCTGCGCCATTTTGTCATGGCAGGGTGGAACAAACAAGCAGACAGGTACAGGTAAGTGGCAAGTTACGCCAAGCAGGTCGGGCTCGCCACCCTCGTTTGTTGTCGAACGACGGGGCCAAAAATAGGGCGCACAGGCTGCAAGCGCGGCGCTTCTAGGCGGGCCTGCCAGACCGGCCGAGCTCAGCGCCAGAAAAGACGTGTCTGCGCGGGCTCTGCCACCTACAAAGTCACCTCTAAGCTTCCTCCGCACGTATGTACGTACGAAGTGCAGGTTCCTGCCGGCCTCTACCTAGCTAGTGTACCACCGCCCGCCGCCCGGGTTTCTGGCGTGGTCCCCTGGTTTCGGCTGCGGGCGTCGTCCGACAGGCCAAACTTGCTTGGGCCCACCCGAGTCCAAAAGTTTTTCTATTGGTCGTCGGGAGCGGCCCACGCGCGTAGCGTCCGTGAGTGCAATTTTCTCGCCGGCGATTGACGCTGACGAAGGCCTTCCTTCCTGAGATGGCGCAGGCTCAGGTAGGGCTAGTACCGTAGCACAGCTACCGGTGGGTCGAGGGAGCAGGCGAGACCTGGGCTGCTAGGATGCCGGACGGCGGCGCGGCTCAGCGCCTTTCCCTAACAGCCGACCTCGGCCGTCGACGTGCCACCAGCCTCGGGTCTTTGCCTGCCGGTCTCGACTGACCCACCCCTCGCCCCCCTTTTCCGCTGCTCCTCTGGACCGCTGATCCTAGGGCAAAGCAAGCGGCTAAGTAGCGACCGTAGGTACTCTGCAAGCGAGGCTGCACGGTTACCACACTTCACCGTCAAGGTGAGGCTTGGTTGACCCCAGGCATCTGGTTGGCCAGGAGGCCGGGCCAGGCAGGCCAGGTCTTTCCCTCGACAACGCATCTCGACGCGCGCACGCCGTCTGCCCTCCTTGCGCTGGCTGCCATTCGCTCCCGTCTCGGTGCGATCGAGACGAGGCCAACGAGGCCTCAGGCTAGGTCTCTGGGGACCTGGGGACCGGGTGGTCTGCCTTATGTGTTGAGGAAAGATGAGCGCTCATCTTTTTGCCTTCTTACGTGGCACTTCGAGGTCCAGAGACAGCAGGCCTGGCCGGCGAGCAGACCACGACGACAACGACTGACTGCGGCATGGGAACGGGTTGAGGCACACATCAGCTTGGGCCGCCGTCGTTGTCGTGCGTCGTGCGTCGTCGTCGTCGTTGTCGTCATGGCCAGAGCCTCGGGTCACGGACAGCAGGCTAGGAGTAGTCGACCAGCACAGCCTCATTCGCACAGGATCGCTACAGCGCCTCGGCTGCCCTCGTCCTGCCCGCTGGCGCGCGACAGACAGACGGGCAGTAGTGTGCGGGCCAAGTCAGGTCCTCAACCCCCGACCGACGGCGGACAGGAAGCCGGCGTTTGCTCTTGCAGCGGGTTGCACTTTGCGCGGCCCGGTTCCTTCGGTGCGTCCCCTGCTCGTCGCCGTCGTCGGACCCGCCTCGTCGGCCTGATCTGAGCCTCTGAGTTCGTGCGCGCATGCTTGGCGAGGTCTGGTACCATACGTATCGATCTGGCCTGCACGCCAACTCGGCCCAACGCGATGGCAGCCCTCTGCAGGCCAAGCCGTCGCCGCTCGGAGTGCCAGCTGTACGTGTTGTCCACACGACGACGCGCCTCCGCATCGTTCGACGCTGGCCTTTCAAAGGTCCTCTGCTCTTCTCTTGCCGCAGCACCCGCCAGAGAGCAGGCCGGGGCCCAATCGGGTCTGTAGCGTGGCAGGGCGGCGACGACGGGCGCTATATCGGTAGGTTGCTGAAGCCTCAGACCCCTCTACGCATCCTTGCATCGGCGTTGCGTTCCATGCTGCGCCGTTCCTCGATGTGTTCCTGCAACGAACGGAACGACGCATGATAGTGCCTGTCCAACGGCCCGTACCGCGAAATCAACCAAGCAGCAGCGGGTCAGGCAGGCTATATGAGATCAAGATGCGACAGCAGACCAACGGCACAGGTAGCCGCTATGCGACACCTTCGAAGAGAGTACCAGTAGGCTGGGTGGTGTGAGTCGATGCGTGATTGGAAGAGAGCGTCGCCTGGGGGCTTGTTTTGAGCAGGCCGCCGTGATTGGAAGAGAGCGTCGCACGGGGGCTTCTTTGAGCAGGCCGCCCGACCAAGCTTTGAGCGCCGCAGACTCGTGCGAGAAATGTGGGCCTCCACAAGGCAAGCCAGCCAACCCCCACGTCGACGCAGGTGGGGGAGCAGGCAAAGGAGGGACCTCTGCGCGCATGGTCCATGCTCAACGCCGGCGCACAGGGGTCCGACGGTACAAGGCGGCGCTGGCGGCAACACTACCAGCAGCAGCACCACCACCACCACGATCGCCATCTAGACCACCGTCGACCTTGAAGCACGCCGCTCACGAATTCTTTACTCGACATCAACCCAGCCCGCCCCTGCACGTACGACCTCGCCGATCATTCACAAGGCCACGATGGGCTGCTTCAGCTTTTTCAAGAGGCCAAGCTCGGACAGCTCCTCGACCTACAGCGAGAGGACGCTGATCGACGAAGGCGCGCAGCACGTCAAGGGCGAAAAGGCCTTGTCAACCACCTCATCCAAGCCCAACGTGACGGGGCCCCGCCTCGAGGCACTGCGCAGGCGCATGGACGAAGAGGCCTGCGACTACTACATCGTCCCCACCGACGATGCGCACGGTAGCGAGTACACTGCGCCGAGCGAGCAGCGCCGTGTCTGGATCTCGAACTTCACCGGTTCGGCAGGAACAGCGGTGGTGGCAAGGGACTCGGCCCACCTCTTTGCAGACGGCCGCTACCACGTCCAGGCCGCCGAGCAGCTCGACGACAACTGGCGCCTACACAAGGTCGGACAGACCGGCGTAAAGGACTGGCCGGCCTGGCTTCTCGACCAGGTCACGGAAGGAGACAAGGTCGGCCTAGACCCAGCGCTGATCAGCTATACCGAGGGCAAGTCGCTCGTCACCGCCCTGATGACGAAGAAGGCCGAGGCCGTCTTCCCAACCCGCAACCTCGTCGACGTCGCGTGGGGCGACGAGCGCCCGGACCCCATCGACGCTCCGATCAAGGTGCACGAGCTCAAGTTCGCCGGCAAGCCCGCCCAGGACAAGCTCGCAGACGTCCGCAGGGACCTCGGATCGCAGCCGGCCAACTCTGCCTTTATCGTCCCCACCCTCGACGATGTCGCATGGCTGCTCAACCTCCGCGGCGCCTCGGTCCCGTGCAACCCGGTCTTTCCCGCCTACGTCGTCGTCTCCCGCGATGACACGGCGCTCTTTGTCAGCGATGCCCTCCTGGTGCCCGGCAGCGAGGCCGACCGCTACGTGCGCGAGGAGCTCAAGCTGACCGTCAAGCCTTATGACGAGGTCTGGGACTACCTCACTTCCCGGCAATGGGCCGGCGAGGCGATCCGGGGCGCCGACGACGAGGGCGAGTCGCGGGCCAAGCTCGTCTCTGGCGAAAAGGTGTCGTACGCCGTGGTCAACTCGGTGGGCGAGGACAACTTTGTCGTCGTCAACCCTTCGCCGCTGGCTCTGCGCAAGGCGGTCAAGAACCACGCTGAGCTGGCCGGCTTCCGCGCGGCCCACCTGCGCGACGGTGCCGCCTGGGTCCGCTGGGCGGCCTGGCTCGAGGAGGAGGTCAAGGTCAAGGGCCACCGGGTCGACGAGCACGCCGCCGCCGTCGAGTTCCAACGGATCCGCAGCAGCATGCCGCTCTATGCCGGCGAGGCCTACGACGCCATCAGCGCCTCGGGGCCCAACGCTGCCCTCCCCCACTACGAGACGCCGGCCGAGGGCAGCCGCCTGATTGACCGGTCCACGCCCTACCTCAACGACTCGGGCGCCCAGTACCACGACGGCACCATCGACTGCACGCGCACCGTGCACTTTGGACGCCCGACGCACGAGCAGAAGAGGGCCTATACCCGGGTGCTGCAGGGCCACATCGCCCTCGACATGGCCACGTTCCCCGCGGGCACGACGGGCGCGCAGCTGGACTGCCTTGCGAGGCAGCCGCTGTGGTCCGACGGCTACAACTACCTCCACGGCACGGGCCACGGTGTGGGGTCCTACCTCAACGTCCACGAGGGTCCGCAGGGCTTTTCGAGCTCGTCGGGCGGGTCCAAGACGCCCGTGGCGCTGCTCGAGGGCATGGTGCTGAGCAACGAGCCGGGCTTTTACGAAGAGGGCCACTTTGGCATCCGCATCGAGTCGCTCGTCGCCGTCACGCGCGTGCACACCCACCGCGGCTTTGGCGCGGCGGGCTGGTTTGGCTTCGAGCGCATCACGCAGGTGCCCATCGCCACCAACCTCGTCGACCACCGCCTGCTGACGTACGCCGAGGCGAGGTGGCTCAAGGAGCACAATGCAGACGTCCGGAGGAAGCTGCTGCCGCTCGTCAAGGACGACCGACGCGCCTCTCGCTGGCTCCGAAGGCAGTGAGGCCGGGCGGTAGGATGTTCGTTGTTCGTCTGTTTGTCTCGAAATCTTCCGTCCATCCCTGCTTCACCCGCCCGTCCATCTCTGCCTCTGTCGCCCGCCCGCACTGGTTAACGAATACATGTCACGATCCCACAGCTCAGTGTCTGTCAAAGTCCCGTCTTTCTCGTGATGGATTCGCGTTCGCCGGACGCATTGTGATGAGGGATGGTCTGACTCGGGTTGTTACGGCAAGGAAGAAGGCCTCGAAGGCGCGTCGATTTGGGTGGCCGTTGCGACGATACGATGGACGGCTTCGACGCCGATACAGATCAAGGCCGCGCGACCGTGCCGGCGCAACTTTGCTCGATTTCCCGTTGGCATCAGAGTGGGTCGTTAGGAATAAGAGTGCATGGGGATATTCAGCGAAACCGATAAGAATACTACTCTGATGGCGGGCGAGGCAGCAGAGAAGAAAGAGGATGAGCGCGAACTGGCGCGACAGAGAGGCGGTGGTGGTGCATGGAGGATAGCTTGGGCGCCGGGGCGAATCGTCCAGCTCGGTCGACGATAACGTCTTCCTCGCTTTCGCCGCCGCTCTCGTGTGCCTCATCGATAGAGAGACGTGTCGCGATATGATCGCCCGAGGCCGAGACCGTCGTTCATCGGCCGTGTCGAAAAGCTCTGGCGCGCTGTTCGTCGATTGCTCCACGTCTGAACGGGCGCATAGCAAGTTGAGCATCCAGAGAGGCCAGCAGCTGCACAGGCGGCTGGGATGCGGAGAGTTAGGGTCCTGCGGCCCTCCGTCACGCATCAAAAGGGTCAGCAGCAGCGGCGGCGGCGGAAAGTTTCCAGCCCAGTCAGCATCATCGCTGCTGCGCCCGGCCCACTTGCTACGTTCTACTCTCGATTGGAGAATAACGAAGGCAGGCGTCGTAGATTGATATCTTGGCCCGTGGTGTCGTCGCGACCTCTGTACCACCAGTGCAGCAGGATGTGTCGCGAGCAAGCCAAGAAGGAGGGGGCGGCGCAGCATGCTTCTGCCGCGGCTAAACGGGGGGCCTGGCAGGTGGCGCGGGGCGTGGGTGGTGGCCCCGCGCCGCCTCGCCTGCCTGTTGGAGTACTGCCTGCCGGGCTGCTTCTCGTCCATCGTGTAGCGTGGGGCGGGTGCGCGGGCCACCATCTCGACGACGTCAGACCGCCTGCCGGAGGTTTGGCCAGGGAGAGGCAGCAGGTGTGCGCACGTCGTCAATAATTTCCTGCCTGCCTGCCTGCCTGCCTGCCTGGGGGTTGCCCCGCTCGCACGGCCCATCGGCCGTCCATCGGTCACCATCGAAACTCGCCCTCATCCCGCCCTTCTCTCGTCGTCCCGCCCCAACCTGCCTCCCTCGTCTAGCCTTGTTTCTTCCTCCGTCCCTGTCCTCCTCTTTTCACCACCACCACCACCACCCTCACTATCACCACCGCCCACCACACCGCCACTTTTATCCTACTCTTTATCGCTCACCCCGCTCCTGCCATCGTCACCATGATGCGAGCGTCTCTCCCCCTCCGCCACCTGGCCTCGGTCAGCGGCAGGCAGGCGCTGCCCCGCTCTGCCGCCGCCGCCGCCCGCGCCGTCCGCCCCGTGGCGGCCCAGCCCGTCCTCGGTCGCGCATCGCCCTTCCGCTCCGGCATCGCCGCGGGGGCGCGCGGCCTCGCAACCACCGACGGCTCTCAGTCGGTCGACTTTGACCCCAACGCGGCCACCTCGATGGACAAGATGGAGCCCCCCGCACCCGGTGCCGACTTCAACGTCGTCATTGTCGGCGCCGGAAACATCAACTTTGGTGAGTGACCGGCGGCCGGCATTGCGACCGCGACGCTGCTTAGCGCACGAAGCTGAACGCAGCCATCGACCTGCCTCAACCCTCTTTCCACGCTCCAACAGGCTCCGACGAGGGACCCTGGAACCACTCTTTCCGTCTCGAGCAGTGAGTAGGTCCAGTGGATCGAACGAGATGCGGCGCAGTTGCAATTGCTTACCAGCATGCCATGTCTTGCCTCCCGCTCATCTCATCTCGTCGCCTCGCCGCCCGCAGCAAGCTGGGACCGCGTCTCAAGGTCGTCGCCCTCATCGACCCGAGCGCCCAGCGCGCCGAGGCCGCGCTCAACGTCAAGAGGAACTCGTTCGTGCTGAGCGCCTACAAGGACACGGTCGTCTATCCCACCTTTGCCGACTACGTGGCCAACATGAAGCCGCACCAGAAGCCTCAGTGAGTGTCCGGACCGACGCGAGGCCCTCGCAACGGAAGCGGGGGGGAGAAGCAGCGACACTGACCGCCTGCGTTTTTCACTCTACCCCCTTCTCGCCACACAGCGCCATCTGGGTCGGCTCTCCGCCGCAGTACCGAGGACGCGAGCAGCCGGGCATGGACCTGGAAAAGAAGCTGATCGAGGCGTTCCCGGACGTGGCCATCTTTATCGAGAAGCCCGTGTCGACGGGACCGGTGGCCGACGCGCAAAAGGTGGCCGACGTGCTGGAAAAGTCGGGCAACCTGATCTCGGTGGGCTACATGCTGCGGTACCTCAAGGTGGTGCAGAAGATGAAGCAGATCCTCGAGGAGAACAACCTCAAGGTGATGGCGACCAACGCACGCTACATTATGGCCTACGAGCACACGGCCAAGCTCGACTGGTGGGACAAGTCGCAGACGTGCGGGCCCATTGTCGAGCAGGCGACGCACTTTTGCGACCTGTCGCGCTACTTTGGCGGCGAGGTCGACCTCTCGACGGTGGCCGCGCACTCGCTCGAGTACTTTGAGCCGGCGGGCCACCTGTCCAAGATTCCCGTCGACGAGAGCAAGGTCAAGCCCGAGAACCGCATCCCGCGCATCACGTGCGCCACGTGGAAGTACGAGTCGGGCGCCGTGGGTTCGCTGACGCACGCCGTGTCGCTGCAGGGCTTCAACTACTCGACCGAGATCGACGTGCTGGCCGACGGCTACAGCCTGCGCCTGGTGGACCCGTACAATGCGCCGGCCCTCTACTTCCGCCGCCCGGGCGACGACCACGAGGAGGTGGTGCGCTACCAGAACGACGACCCCTTCTTTTCCGAGGTGTCGAACCTGATTGACTGCATCGAAAAGGGACCGGGCGCCTCTCCCATCCTCAGCTCGTACGACGACGCCGTCAAGACCTACGCCCTCACCTGGGCCATCCGCGAGGCGAGCGAAAAGAGCGCAAAGAAGCCCGCCAAGTGAGAAGGGTGTGTCCCTTCGCATCGCACCGCATCGCTTCGCATCTTGTCGGTCGGTCATTCCCTCGTTTTCCTGCCCGCCCTCCGTCTCTCTCGCCAAATAAAGCGTCCCGCCTGTCCTTGTCCGGTCATTCCGTCTCCTCTCTTTCGGGCCTCCTCCCTCGCCCTCGCCCTCGCCCTCGCCCTCGCCCTCGCCCTCAACCTGTCTGCTGTATACAAATTGTCTGAAAGAAATCCCCGAATCCGCAGTTGCAAAGGAGATTGGGCGGTGTGCTGGAAAGTGGCGAGCGGCATGGCCTGGCCTAGGGTAGCGCGAGGGAGGCACTGAACGGGTTGGCAGGTTGGCTGATCCGTGCGCGCTCTTCCCGCCAGGCCGGGGTGGAGGTGGGCCGGCAGGCCTGCCATCGAGGCCAGGCCAACGAGGATCTCGTCTCGTCTCATCTTCCTCCGACCCACCACCACCACCACCAGCGCGATTCACCATTGCATCCTATCTCTGGCTCAACAACAGTCGCATCACCACGACACCCCTCAACAGAACGACGCGACAGCAAAGAAGAAGGGGAAGAAGAAATGAGCACGACAACGACGGTGGATATCCCGGCCTCGGTGCTCGAGGAGACGAAACGGTTCCGGCTGTCCAAGTCGTCTTCGGCGGGTCTGGCGGCATTGGTGTACAAGATTGAGAAGAAATCGCTCTGCCTCGTCGTCGAAGACCGCATCGAGGGCGCCCTCGAGGATGTACTTGAAGGTGCGTTGTCCCCTTTCCCCCATCCCCCCTTCCCCTTGCTCGAAGTTTAGTGCTGGAATGGCGGAGATGGGCACTTGCTGATTCTGCGCATGTGCGGGGGGCGGGTGGACAACAGAGCTGCCAGAGAATAGCCCCAGGTTCCTCGTCGTTTCTTATCAACTCCAACACCGCGATGGTCGCGTCAGCTACGTACGTTGCCCCCCTTTCCTTTCCCCCCCCCGACGATCGATGACCCCCGTTCCTCAACCTGTCACCTCCCCTCTTCTCGTACACACCAACCGGATGTACACACCAACACGACGAAACAGCCACTCTTCATCCTCTAGTAAGCCCTGAACCCCCACCCTCGGCAGGTTGGCCACACGCTGATCCCTTCATCAACCCTCCCTCGCCACCCCGCCAGCTGGGCACCGACAACGTCTTCAAACGACCAGTCGATGCTCTACGCATCGGCCCTCTCCAACTTTTCCGTACAGGTCGACATCGCCAAAGTCATCGACGTGCGCGATGGCGAACTCTCCAAGCAGGCCCTCGAAGAGAGACTCGGCGCTTAACCCTTCCCTCGGCAGCGTCCTTGCCGCCTCCCGGATCGCATCGCATCGGATCGGGTCGCATCGGTTTGCACCTTTTTTTGAATACGGCCTCCAAGGTCGCAGATGCATTGGGGGGGGGGGGAGGTTCCAACAGTACAATTGCGCGTCTCGAGATAAAAATGGGGTGGGGGGGGTCCATGTTGCAGATATCCCGGCGACCGTCGACGCGCTTCAGCGCTTCTTCTTCCCGCCTCCCCCCCGACCGCCGCCAGATCGACCACCACCGGACCGACCGCCGCTCGACTTCCTGCGCCCGTTGACGTGCTCGAACCCATGCGGCATCCTCGGGCTCTTGGCATCTCCGACCACCGCCGCCGTCGCGCTCGTTTCGTTCACCTTGGGCGCCTGAGAGCCGGGAAGCCGCACCGCGATCTTGGCGGCCGGCGACGGCGCGGGCGCTGCGGCAGAGACGATCGCCGAGTCCAGCGCACTGGTGCTCGTCGCCGATGCGGGCCGAGGAGCATGCATCGACGCCGCCGCACCCATCTCCTTCTTTGGCGTCGCGGCGGCCGCTGCCACCGGGGGCGGCGATGGGGTCCGCGCGGTGGCTTTCGCTGCTGCCGCTGCTACCGATGGTGCGTGCTTGCCATTGGCAGCAGCGGCAGCACCGGCCGACGCGCTCGAGCCCACGGACCCGCCCACCAGCCGGGCAAACGCGCCGCTGTCGGCCGCCACGCGCGGTCGGACGGCCGCTCGATCTCGCCGAAAAGCGCCCGCCGCCTCGAGGGTACCCTTCGACGACGCCGTCGGGTGCTTGCCGTTGTCTGTTGCTGGCGCAGCGGGAGCCGCAGCAGCTGCTGAGCTGGGCGAGCGGGTGGCGCATGCCGCTTCCACTCCCTTTGATCGTGATGCCGGCATCTTCGGGCGGATTCGGCATTGTGGCAGGC